CCCCCCCCCCCCCCCCCACATGCTTCGTATATTTATGTACGTAGTCCCCTGGAGAAGCTCAGCACCACCCTAAAAAATCTGCTTGACCATACTTTCTCTTCTTTTTGAATAGGGATAATTAGCAGACCTTCTAGTGTTAGCATGTGTTTGTGTTGATTTCTTGAATCAATTTAATTGACTTGTGATTTATGTCCAATACCCTCGACCTTATTCGAATCGTGAATCGTAAGGGGATCGTCATAATTTTAGATGTGTGAGTCTTATAGTTATACCTGAACATCTAACTTGTAAAGTGTAACTCAGTAAGTCGTGACCATTCGTACCAGTTGTACGAACCGTTTGATTCGCAAATGGTCTGTTCGAATATTTATATGCGTGAGGCTTATAGTCATATGACAGCATATAACTTGTCCTGCTCTGAAATTCGTTGGAATGGTAAGATTCAACAACTATTTATGGTTAACTTGGCTGTATTGCCAAATGAGTTTTTAGACTCGTACGAATCGTTCGAACCGTTCGATTCGTGATTGGTCTCAAATTTGTTCGAATGGTCAGGTTCGTGAGGTTCGTACTATCGAATGCGTTGGTAGTTCGCTCTAAGTGAATGTCTTAGACTCTTTGTAGATTCATACAATTCGTTCGAACCGTTCGACTCGCGAATGCGGTCAGATTCGTTGGAATGGTTAGATTCATGTGGTTCATAGTATCAAATGCGTTTGTAGTTCCCTCTAAAGGCTAATTTCCATTCCGGAAAATAAGCACCGCTGCTCGGAGGTTTTTCCGACCCGGTCCGATCCAACAAGCGATTTTCAGTAAAAGGACAAGTGGAATGATCGGATCGGAAAAGAAAAAAATGGAGCTCGTTCCAGTCGCACTAATTACTATTTCGTGCTCATTTCAAAATGGCAGCGGCTCTGAACAAGCGTGTCCTTCATCTTATTTTGTTACGTGATTGCCAGCAAAGGATATTATAAAGGCCGAGACACACAGGACGCGATTCGACAACGCGGCGCGATTTTTCAGTTTTTGAACGTTGATAAAACAGCTAATGGAAGAAATTTTAAAAGATATGCAGACCAAATAATTAACTCAAAATGTTATAGTACTTTGGAAAACGTAAACCGGGATCAATCTGTCCAGACTGTCAGTGAAAATCGAAAAATCGCGCGACGCTATCGAATCTTTCATGCACCACCCCATGGAAAACCTGCACCTCTTCTTGCAGATGAGGATAGATCCGCCCTTGTTATGTACTGGACCATAGTGAACGTTGGACTGCACTCTGAACTTGAAGTTTTCTTTTCCCAATAAGAATCATAAGAATTTTGCTATATTATCGTCAAACACAACAATATAATAGATTATATATTATACTTTTCGTTTGTGGAAACACCACATAAATTTATTACTGCATTATATATCATTAATTCATTAGATTATATATTATATTGCGCAGTGTTTATATATATATCACTTTTCAATATGATTTGTTGTAGGAAATCTTACTGTAAGAAGAAAATTTCTAAATCCATTGAATCCAAATTACAGTGACTGTCCAAAGTCCAGTCCAGTCCAGTCCAGTGCATGTCTACAATATGCCATATGTCAAAAGCATTCAATAGCATCTCAGCTCACATTCGGTGCCTCAATAAGAGATTACCAAGTCTCGGTTTGACAGCTGCATGTATATTACTGGAACATATCAAGTTGTGCTAATAGATTTGTCGTATTCTAACCTTTGCCAACTAACATTTGGCTTCTACTACCACTCATTCTATTAGTATAAACACTAAAGAAGAAGAGAGTAGAATAGACGAGAAAAGAATGGAGTACATATTAGGTTAGAATTTTAATGGAAAATTATTAAATACTGTAAAATTATATAGAAAAGAATAGAGGAAATGAAGTGGCAAATTTTGAATAGAAATTGACAACAGAATAAAATAAAATAGAATAAAATGGGAAAGGATGGAATGAATCTGAATTGAATTGGAGAAAATGGAGTGGAAAGGAGAAAAATAAAGCCTTCTTCTCACTACGACGCGAAATCAAACGTATTGATCTCGAAATCAAACGTATAGATCTCTGATGTACTGTCCTCACTAGACGCAACATAAGCATAAACATAAAGCCTGGTTTCACGATCTTTCTCATCAGCTGAAATACAACATTTTAGAATTGAAAATACGCGGCGTGATTATAACTAGAGAATACTTATGAGTTATATGTGGTTTACGGGTATAAACTATTGTAAACTGAGAAAGATCGTGACTGTATTTTTACGACCATCTGGAAACCAGGCTTAAGAACATCAAAACGTAGCGTTCTTTTCCTTGCGTCGTAGCACAGACCAGGAGTAAGAAATCAAATATTAGGGAATACAGGTAGAACCAAAATGTGGGAACACAACAGAATGAAATTGGTGGAAATGGGTAATTACTGGATATATGAAATTATTCTTATCTTGCGGATGGACAACAACCTTAAAGACCATGTAAAGTCCGTAATGTAATCAAACGCTTTGTTTACATTTTGAACTCAGTGCTACAGTTATAAAATATGATTAGATATACAGGGTGTATAAAAAAAAGGAGACCTTTAGAAATCAACCATATTGTTAAAATTTGAATGCCTTTTCAATTGCACATATGCTGAACCGTAGTGCGTGAAATATTGATGGGGTGCATATATTAGAAAAAGGGACCTTTAGAAATTGAAATAACGTTTAAACAAAAGATTGTCTGCTCCTGGGAACAATCTACTGTACGAAGATCGCATGTTACGCACTCGTCAGTCATTGGCTTAGCATGCAAAGTGCTCCAGGATTCAAATTATAACAATGGTTGATTTCTAAAGGTCTCCTTTTTCTAATATATGCACTCATCAATATTTCACGCACCACGGTTCAGCATATGTGCAATTGAAAAAGCATTCAAATTTTAACACTATGCTTGATTTCTAAAGGTCTCCTTTTTTTTATACACCCTGTGTATTATACTGAATTTTTAACACTCTTCTGGTTCGCTATGCTTGTAAATGAATACAGACTAGAGATTCAATTCAAGAAAGTTCAAGAGACACGAAATATTACTAACATTCCAACGGTCGAGTCCCGACCATTGGAATGTAAGCCTGCGCAGAACCACAGTGGCAGAACGTATGCGCAGAACGGACTTTACATGGTCTTTAAAAATACAAGTAAAACTTCGACGTTTCGAGCGAAGGCCCTTCGTCGGAAAGTTGAGGGGCCTTTGCTTAAAACGTCGAGGTTTTACATGTATTTTTCAGGTATACTTGAATCCCTCTCAATCCGCAGCTTTCTCAGTGTTGTTTTTGTCACTATCTGTACGCTGGCGCAGACTCAATTATCCTTATGTTAATTAGTTCAATAAAACAGAGAAAGCGATAAAATATGTTGTGCCGCGTTCCTCAAAAACTAATAAATGTGTAAATTACATACAATTGCGTAGCATGAAAAATCTTTCAAATCTTCAATTTTTGCATTTAGGCTACCAACGGTATACTATACTCTAATCTAATGAAAATTCTTAAATTTTCCTAGAAACGGTTATCAAAACGAATGTGTTCGGGCGTTGTGGGTGCTCTCCAACGGTCATGATATGTATAAGTCATGCACTGTCTGCTTGGGTAGGTACTGGAAATATAGTTAAACATATATAGTCATAGTTGCACTGAATAATGTTGCGGTCTGTCACATGACAAGTGTAGAGTATAAGAATCTGACGTTGGATAATTACAAAATGTAAGTGTAAAGGGAAACTAGCACTGACAAAATATGAAATTAACCGAAAGGTAAAAAAAGCGCTCGGCTTTGTGACACCAAAATAATAAGGCAAAAGCAATCGTACTTGAAAGCAGTGAGGCTTTCAATGACAACTACCCTGATAGCAGAGCCTGATTTCCCCTCTGCTATCAGGGTAAATGACAACAAGAACATATTTCTAGTAGATAAATACACAATGAAAGAGGTGCAATGAAATTGCCAACAAAACTAGGTTTAAGGCAGTTTTCCACTTGGGGGAATTTTCCGCGCGGAGCGGAATTTCTCTTTGTCTTGCATGTGATTTCTCGGGTGGAACTAATACACTCTTTCGATAATGACGTCACAACTACACTATTTTCAACTTAGGACCACCTTAAATGGAAAGGATTTAATTTTTTCTGATGGGCTATGCACAGAGAAGCAGAACATCCTTCTTCAATGCATGCATGAAAAAAAAATTTGGATTTTGATCAATAAATATGGAAATAAGCATTAACACGAAAACGAGGCCCTCGTTTTCGTGTTAAAGCTTATTTCCACATTTATTGGTCAAAATAAAGAATTATTTTTCATGCATGTATTGAAAAAGGATGTTCTGCTTCTCTGTGCATAACCCATGAGAAAAAAACTTGAAATCCTTTCCATTTAAGGTGGTCCTAAGTTGAAAACAGTGTAGTTGTGACGTAATTATCGAACGAGTGTATCAGAAAAGACAAGGAGAAATTCTGCTCAGCCTAGTGGAAAACGGCCTTAAGTCTCAGTTTATTGTTTGCCTGGAGAAACACTGCGAAATATGCCGCCGGCAAAAGCAATACTCGTAACGAGTTTCTAGAACATTGAAGTAAAAATAAGAAAAATGAAAAAGTTCGCGAGAAAAGTATTTTGGAACGGTTAAAACACAAAATAAAATTATTTTAAAGTTTTTGCTAAGAACGACAACACTGACAAACGATGAAAAACGGTTTTATACAGGGTGTATCAAAAAAAAGGTAATCGAACTTCAGCGCGCTATTATACGTGAATTACTCTGCGTATGAACAATTGGTTTTCATATTCGGAAAGATCAGGCTTTTAGCTATTGAATGACATGCTTTTCATGCCAAGTGGAGAAAAAATAAGCATGTACGAGGCCGATTAAAAATGTTAGTCAAAATCGCATATTTTCACCTCTGTGCCTAATTAAAACAATGCATAACAAAAGAAAAAAGCAATTAATCACGAACGTGTCGTAGCTTAGCTAAGATTATGAATATGTGTGCAGTTTAATGAAGTGAAATTCATCAACTTAAGTCCTAAAGGGAATTCATTTTCAATGGTTTTAGACCTAACTCTCAACGGTGAAAATATGCGATTCTGACTAAGATTTTTTATCGGATTCGTATTTGCTCATTTTTTATCCATTTGGCATGAAGAAGATGTCATTTAACAGCTAATAGCATGATCTTTCCGAATGTGAAAAAATCTCGTTCATACTTAGAGTAATTCAGATACAATAGCGCGCTGAAGTTCGATTACCTTTTTTTTTATACACCCTGTATACAAAACGAAAAACTAGAGTGGCTAATTCGTACGTATAAAAGATTTCATTCGGAACAAAAATTTGTATTTGCTTTTCGCTTATTCGTTCAAAGTGTTATTATAGTTATTCTTCTTGAAGTTAGTTTATGCCGTTTTCTCAACTTAAACTTCATTCAGAACGTGCTTAATTATAGAAGAAACGATTTTCTTTAAAATTTAGCTGCTTGCAAAGAAGTTATTTTAAAAACGTTATGGCCCCCAACTGGGGACTAGCGTTCAGTTTTGGTCGCACAATTTCAACCAATCAGATTGCAGGAAAAGCAATAGCCATTTCACAGTTTCTACTATTTGGACATGGTCCTTACTGCATGGACAACTAAAATAGGGAGAACGTAAGAGATGAAAACTGATAATGACAGTCTAAATATCAGTTAGTTTGGTTGACTAATTTTAGTGCTGTTTAGTTTTGTTTAGTTTAGTTTAGTTTAGTTAGTTTCGTTTAGTTTGCTAAATTACCTTGCGTCCACATACTGCTTTCGGCTTTCCTATGCAGTAATATTATACTTATCATGCAATCATACTTTTCCGCAGGGTGACCGAATGTGGATGTATGCAATATCTATATTCCTAATATCTCTTACTCCTGGCTCGTTTCTTTTTACTGCAATTTATGGCTTGGCTGTATCACTGTCTGTGGTTGCTTTTGGAACTTTAGTTGGTGACTGGATTGATGTAACTCCACGGCTGAAAGGTATTTTAATAATCTTCCTCAGACCTCAGCTTCGTATGTTAACTGCCCGTCTCCGATCAAGTGTTTGATAACTGAGGCCGGTTGTATACAAAGGTTGGATAGCGCTAGGCACTGGATAGTGGTTTTATAGCTTGAAACGTTATAAAAATATCAATATGGACCTCACATCACAAACATCATATTCACCTGAGTACACATAACACCAACAACACAAAAAAAAAATATCATAGAATACACTGATATCGAAGGAACTAGACTCAGTTCCGAAATATCAACTCGAACCGACTTGACCAGTGCCACGTAGCTCAGTTGGCAGAGCATTGGACTAGTATCCCAAAGGTCGCCGGTTCGATTCCCACCGTGGCCAAGCAAACGTTTCAGCTTGCCCGGTGTGGATGCACACTCAGAGTAACATCACAAACATAATACAAAAAATGTTGATTTATAAATACAGTTGACACCATTGGGACCGAGTCATGCCTTATTAGTCAAATTTCATTGCGTTGCCGGTGGCACGCGAAAGTCCTGACTTTCCGTCACGGTTGGTCAGGTATTTCGCAGAGGTCAGAAATTTCGCTTGACACCGGTGCAAGAGAAGAAATCGCACGTGTATCATGTTCTGCGCGGCAACGCCATGCATCGTAACTTGATACCTTCGGCAATCGTTGCCGAAAGTTAAAATGATTTAACTTTCGGCAACGATTGCCCAAATATCAAATTATAATTGATTGTATTTAGTCTGCCAGCCATTGAAAATCGCTTTACTTGACATCAAGGACAAGTTATAGTCTAGGACCTGTATAGATGTTTGTATGCGTTTCATTTAGCACAGGTAATCTCAACTGTTTTAGGGTAAAATGACCATGTCGGTCAACATGGCATATGTGCCAAAACCTGAATCTGGGGGCGAAAGTCCTGAAAATGACCCCGCCCTGAAACGGCAGTGCCGACATAGCTCCAACTTCCGAAAACGAAAAGCGACAACCTTTCTGAAGTGCTTATAGTGTTTAGAAGGGTTGCTTTTAGGGGTGGTTATTGGAAGGAAAAATTTGTCTAAGTATAATATTTTACAAGAAAATGACCATGCACTACCCCAGGTAAATTGCTAATTATGCATAAAATAACTAATTTTGTATTATTCTTTAAAAATTTATACTAAAACAATTATTCGCCTCAAGCTCAGCGATTATTGTGAATATTCGCCTCGACTTCGTCTCGGTGAATATTCACCAGTAATCACTTCGCCTTCGGCGAATAATTGTTAAATATTCACCTCGACTTCGTCTCGGTGAATATTCCCCGATAATCACCTCGCCTTCGGCGAATAATTGTTAATTAATATTTACTAGAACTTATTTTTATGTTTTTAGCTGCTCGTTTGACGTTAATCATCCAGAATGTCGCAGTGGTAGCATGCGCCATGGTTGTGTTAATAATGTTTAAGCAGAGTATTTCCAGCCCGATCTTTTTAGTCCTTGCTGTTGTTCTTGTGTTACTGGCCATTGTTGCTCGTCTTTCCAGCTTGGGAACTACCATAGCCATTGAAAGAGATTGGGTCGTAATAATCGCGAAAGAAGATGAGTTTCTTCTTGCAGGTATACGTGCATTTATGCCGGGGGGGATGGGGGAGAATGGTCCTCAAAGGTGAGATACGGAATCATATAGGGCGTCCTCTATATTACTTCCCTCCCAGGGAGAAGTGGGAGGAACTTGTTTAGTCACGCGTCTTATTAGCCGCTTATTTGAATCGCAGATGGCACAAACATTTGTTAAAAATAAATCAACTGTGAAACAAACAGGTTGTGCTTTATATATAGCGAGTACAAAACTGTCACGAACTGCGTACGAAACATTTATCCAAGCTCTTTCCAAAGGTCGGATCGGTGTTTTCCCAGGTATTTTTTTGGTCTAATTACAAAATGTAATATGTTGATTATATTGTAAAAAGTGTCCATGGAGGTTCGTATTATAGCATTTGATAACCTACTTTTTTACTTTCTATAGGTACAAACTCCATATTACGACGTATCGATTTGACGTGCAACATCCTTGCTCCTGTTTCTACGGGTTTAATCTTAGATTATGGATCAACATTAATCGGGATTCTCTTTATAGCCGGTTGGAATATTGTATCAGTCTTTGTCGAATACACCATGTTATCCTTAGTATACCATTCCTGCCCAGCGCTAGCCAACAAAACCGTGGATGTTGACAGACTTGACGACACCGTCAATAACTCGGAACCAGACCTTGTTAATGTTGATCTATCTGAGCAGGACCAGGATTGCACAGTTATGGTGCCTAGAGTGAAAACGTCACGAAGTTTGAAAAATAGCTGCAGTCTTCTGGTTGACAAAGTAAAATCTCGAGCGCGAGTCCTCCGTTTCGGCTTAAAACTATTTTTCCAACAACGTGTAGCATTTGCTGGGATTGGATTAGCCTGCCTGTATTTGACAGTATTGGGCTTTGATAGTATTACCACCGCTTATGCATACTCGCAGCATGTAAGTGCTGCGGCATTGGGTATGTTGACAGGCGCTGGTGCCTTGACTGGAATATTAGGGACTTTCATATTCACGATTTTCCATCGAATGTTTGGACTTGTTAAGACTGGATTAATCTCGAACTCGATTCAGTTATTTTTCCTCATGTTTTGCGTGGCTTCTGTCTGGGCTCCGGGTCATCCCGGCCATTTGCTCGAACCAGGCTATCATGATGACAGCACTCACGTGAAGACCGGAGTAATAAAACTTGCGAATGTTTCGGTCCACCCCACCAAAAGTTTAGTTAGTATTATGAGTACGACTCCTTCGAATTTTGGCGGACAAACCACTCTGCACCCAACGGCAACGCTTCATCCAAGTCCTACTCTTCCAACACCAAGTAATTATTCCGTGTTTATTCCATCTAAAAATATCAAGCCTTCTACGACTATTCCTTTGTCTCCTAGTACCTCAACACCTAAGATAACTGATACTGGAAACAATACCAAGAATAATACAAAAAAATCTAGTGATGGTAAGGGTAGCAACTCGCTCATTTCGCTAGGTTTTCTGATGGGCGGAATAGTAATGTCTAGAGTAGGCTTATGGATGACAGACTTAGTAATAACTCAATTGTTTCAAGAAAACGTCCCAGAACAAGAACGTGGTATTGTGAGCGGTGTCCAAAACTCCTTCAATAGCGTCATGGATGTGGCTCACTTTATTATGGTGTCTGTGGCGCCAAAACCCGAGCAATTTGGTGTGCTGATTCTCATTTCTGTGGCGATGGTGGCTCTTGGGTTTGCATTTTATTCGCGCTTTGCCTGGAACCATCGTAAGCGACTGATGCATTTCGAGAAACTCAGTCACTGGAGTGGAAGTAATGAATCGATTGAAGGCACGTCAAGACAGTTAAGAGATGAAAGTAGAAGTAATTCAAGGAGTGATATTCCAAGCGGCGTGCTCAGTGTAAAAAACGATAATTATTCTTCAGTTAAGACTTCAGATTAGGTGAAAAAAAACAACATAGCTTGTTCACAAATCACAATCACAGTGTAACGAGCCAATTGGCAATAACCGCAGTATATCAAAGGTCAATAGAGATATTACCAAAACCGCGAATGCTACGTCTCGCCCAAAAAACGTGTCTTGTTTTCGTGTCAAAACATTCAGGAATACGACTACATTCCTACGCAGACCAATCAGATATGTCGTGATTTCCAAGAGTCTACGATTTGAGAGGAAGGGTACTACATATACGGTTTTGGTAATATACAAATATCTTCCTAGACCTAGTGAATAATGTGTCAATAAGACTTTTTAGCTAACTCGATCCGTCTCTCAACAACATGTTTTCCAATCTGACCGTTCTTACTATACCGCTTTCTTAGTTACGTGATTTTTGTTTTATACGCAACACATAAATTAATTTCAATAACATGAACAACATTGCTTCTATATTTAAACAGTAAATTACATTTTACAATATTATTTTACTACTATTAAAGGTATATATATATGTTATCGTGCTTAATGGCTTGTTGTAAGACATAGTCTAGACTCGACTCGGAAAGCATGCATGGAATCTGTCAGCGATTTGTAAAACATGGACTGACTGAGTCCACGTTTTACAAATCATGGACTCAGTCCATATTTTCAAGACATCAAAAATGCTTATTATATTATATTAAGACTAGTCGTTGAATAAAAATCGTTGATTCTATATTATCAAACAGTTGTTCGTTGGATCAAATATAAAGTCCTAATAACTAACATTGTGACGTTAGACAGTATACAATTATTTGAACTAAATAAGCTTTGAAACAAACACCAAAAAATGAACACATCTTGAAAATCCAAGATATGAAAATTATATTGATCACATGCACTTGACCATTGAATCTCAAACTCATTAATAATTCATGAGTAAATTAGCCAACCCTATATTGCTTAACTTTGCTCACATGGTACTGGTACCTGCATGGTGAAGTACATTGGACTAATTTTCAAGTCCGCTCAATCCAATGACTGGATTATTTTTGAGCCAGTCCTCATATATATAGACATAGTCGGATTTAAAATATTACAATTTTTGCCTCCTGAGGCAAAAATTGTTGTTAAATCTGTTATTTTATATAAGTGTGGTGTTGTACTTGCTCGCGACCGATTAGAGTTGCGTTTCGGAGTTGAGTTCGTGATTCCTCCAGCTCAGACTATTGTCTATAGACTGATTGTACGTTTTACAAATCATGATTCATGGACTCGGCGCAGTCCATGTTTTACAACATTCCAATAATCAATATATAGCCAATATAAGCTGATTAAAATATATAATTAGGCGTTTAATTAAAACGTACATTTTGAATATTAATGTTCATAAAACTGACTGATTTCTATCGATAATCGTCTGATTTCTATCGATAAATGATAAATCATCAGTCTCAAATTATGTGCTTCTCTCGTCATGAAAATATTTAAATTTAAAATATTTAAAGATTTTATAATCATATTAATAATATACATAAAAAAATATTACTCGACTGTGATTGGTTTATTTCAGTGCAGTTGTGGCCTCAACTGTTTGTGCCCAAACAGGCTCACTATACCATTGAGTAAGTTTAACCTTGAAGGACTTGCAAATTGCTTCGCTTCACCAATACCAAAGATGAACAATAAAGTACGTAGTGTTGGAATGTCCCGCAACAACAAGACCTTTGGTAGGATAACTTGACTATAATAACATATAGTAATTTCATCCACTATCTTTCAACCTTAATAACTTCGTAATAATTTGTTTTTCTCTTGGTTTCACATTTAGTTCTACTCTGCAAATTCTATCTACACTCCCCCTTAATTTAAAAAACCCTGCTGAAGAAGACTGTTAGGTCGAAACGCGTTCAGGGTTGCCTTTCCTACTCAAATTCAATCTCTCGCTCTTATATCCTCGCCTTTTATCGTGTCCCATAAAAATTTCCACGTATTTTAGTTTCTATCTAATCGTAGTTTCCCTAGTTTTTTTGCGTACGTGTTCATCATAGGAGTCCGAGTAAAGAAATAAAAGAAAACCATTTTGGGACTACTGGTCCTCATTATTTAGGCCAGACAATGTCTTACACCAGTATACTTGTCCAATTACCTATTTTATACCAATAAAGCTAAATTAAATTAAAATAGTTACAAAATTACGTTTTGAAGTATTTCCACGTAGAATGCTGAGCAATTATTGCCAAAAATAACGCGTATGTAGAACCAACCTCGTACCCAGGGTCTTACCTATGGGAGGGCGTGCGAAGGCAAGAGCCTGGGTACGAGGTTGATATAGAACAAGGGATCAGGCCACAATTATTTGGACTATGTCGAACGCATATGGTCGAACGGCGTTCACTGAACTTATAGTCAATTCCTGCCAGGGGGGACGGCGTCCCCCCATGTTTGATTAGAGACTTTACGATTTTAGGACGGCAACGCGACGGCCAAAACAAACTCCTTCAAATAAATGGTAGTAAAGATAGTTCGTAGTATATTATCAATCGTATGAATTTAATACAATTTTAGAAGCTGAAGACATGAGTTTTATGGTTGGGAAGAGTTCTGCTAAACCCAGTCCGAAGTTGCGCTTGTTGCGGCTTGGCCCGCAGCCGTTGTATCAAGACTTGAAAATCTGTTATTTGGCGTTGTAAACAGAGCGATGACAATGTCTAAATTATTCATATATTGTAATTACTCAATTCTTTTCAATGATCTATTGTATTGCCGTTCTAAAATCGTAAGGTCTCTATTTTGGTAGGGAGGACACCGTTCCCCTGGTAAAAAAAAACATGGATGGACCGCGTTCCCCCTGGTGGTCACTACAAATTGACAGAAATTGCTTATCATGACATCTGGTATCTCGATCTAGGAAAGCAACTCGACATGAGATCAATGCGTTCAGCCGAACGTATAAAAATATTTTCCCCTTTTATTACTACAACGAGACAGAAAAAGCCAGAGCATGTATGGTTGGTAGACTTGCCCAAGTCGCTCGCTAGGGACCGCGCGTAGCAAGAAAACCACGAACCGCGGACTTTGGAAAGTCTAGTATGGTTGGATTCATTTGCAGATCCGGAAACCGTTTAATATATTAGATTTACAGCTAGCTATAGGTAATCGTAAACAACACGTTTAATAATTAAATCACCTAAATTGATCACGTGGAAGATCGCGCGTCTCACTCGCGGTCACACTAGCGTTTGTTCTTGGAGATTACCAGCGGATTAGCGTGCTTGCTTGAACACACACCAACAAGCTCATGCTAGAATGTAAGCAAGCACGTCGCGGTCACACTCAAAAAAGCAACGTTTGCTTGCTTGCTGTTGTTGTTGACAGATAAAAATTAAAAACTTATCTAATAATCTAAAGTCCATTATGTTAAAGTCAACGAATATAGCCTACATTATTCTTGTGATTTCGTAACTATAAGTTTAGAACATATAGAGAATGTGTCTTTGTAGTTTATAGTTCAGGCGCAAATGCTTGCCCGATCGTTATTCATGCTTGAATGCTTCCTGTTTTTGGGTAAATAAAATAAATAAATAATACATATATAATATGATGAGTTGTAAAATACATGTAAAAATAAATAATATAAAATAATAATATAATAATATTAAATAGGGATGTTACATTGTATATTAAATGGCAAGAACTAAATTCTTTTGAAATTTTGAATTTGGTTTCTGCGTCTGGTTTCCATCAAACATACCCTGTAGACTGTAGAGTGTAGACTGTAGTGTGTTTGCCGACCGTGCTTCGCCAGCTTCGGTGCCTTTGAAATTTCAAGCAAATCGTGTCAGATTTCAAGCGTGGTTGAGTTTTGTGTCTTGCGCGGTCACACGGATCAGTAGGACAGGGGTCCACGTTCATTCTCATTAAGTTCTGAAGAAATTCCAGCATGTCCACTGCCTGTAGTAAAACCTTTCGAAAATGTCACTATTTGGTCAGGAGTGAAATCATTATTAGGTGATGTTTATATGATCTCGGGTCACACTACCCCCCGAGCTACCCAAGGAGAGGCAAAATTATATTCATTATATAACATTTAATTTAATTAAACGCAAGTGTTTATATGGAAAGTTTCAACTCGTCTCGGCTGGTAGGGTCATCCTGGCGGTAGGGACACCCTGTTTACAAAACAGGGTTACCCTTGGTAGGAGGGACAACTTTTGACCACTGTGTAAACAATTTGTCTCGGCCTCCACGGATAACTTTTCATTTCCTGATTCTCAGGCCTTCAAACAAATAACTGCATGTTTCAGGAGTCACAATCTCGCACTTAGAGCCATTCTTGTAGGATCGAGGGGATACAGTGCCACCCTGGCCCAGGGCTAGTGTTTCATATAGACGTGCGGTTAAATGGTCTCGGGGGTAGGGGTGTGTCCCTAGTATCTGAGATCATATCAATAGCGCCTACGACTGCGTAATTGTTGGTTTTCAGACTGCAATAGGCAAGACGAAAGTCTGTTAAGAATGAATATTGAACTTTCGACAAAATCATTCATAAATTGGCAATGATTATCGTACATTGGTTCGATGTTGGCTTGCCATATTCAAAGTCATTTCGCTGCGACGCTGTCCCAGAAAGCATCATCCTTTATTTTTGTCTTAACTTTATCAACATTCAACAATGGATTTTAACTACTCATGTGTTCGCGACATCTTCCATGAAGAAACGTTCTCTTTCCCCGCTGTAATTTTGTTCCATATTTTGCATTTTTATGTCTCGTCAAGCCACCTTCCGATTTGCAAATCTTGTCACAATTTTCAAAAGGAAAGTTATTTTCGCCTGATATTTCGCTCACAGCGTGAGCCATGGTTGCTTCGACTTCTTCAATAAAAGACAACGCAATTTCAAAATTATAAGGGAAAATATCCTCGCAGGTTTCTTCATGTTCAAAATAACGCCAACTCCTCGACAATGTTGCTCGAACAACTTTCGCCTTCCAATTCCCAGAGAATCGATACAATCGCCTCTAAATTGTCGTCCATAGCTCTTTCTATCATATGACTTTAGTTTAGGCCAAGTAAAAAAATTCCCGGTTTCTCATCAGACGTGTTTTAAAATGCCAATGCGGCGGGCGGTTTTTTATTTTATTTTTTACTTGAACAACCAGTTTTCTTTTAACAACAGAACTTAAATTGTTTAATAATAACCACTATTCAACCATGTATATTTATTTAAAATACAATACTTATAAAAAAAAAACATGAGGTTGGCGGCCATTTGCATAAAATATTACACTGCTAGCACCCACCGCTAAATATTTCATGTAATTGTTATTTTAAATAATAAAAAAAAATACAAATGCGGCGGCTATTTCCTAATGCGGGCGCTGATGAGAAACCGGGAATTTTTTTTTTACTTGGCCTTAGCACAAAAATAAGTGTTATTAGCGCCGTTATTTCGCGATGAACATGAAAACATTGGAACTACTATAATATAATCCTATAGTAATTGATCTCAAGCCATGCACTAAAACCGTCACGTGACATCTTTTTCCTTTGATCCTCAACATAGTTTGCCGCCGTCGCCAAATCCCTTTGAAGTTTGCCGGCTAGCCAAACCATGTGCGAATTTACTGTGGAACCAGCAAGCGCGCTTGGAAGATGATGTGTTGAGCGATTCAAGTGGATTTAGTTCAAGCAAGCAAGGTCGCGGTCACACTAGCGCGAGAATCGTAAACGTGCATATTTTCGGAAACCCCTACAGCGAAAAATTTCATGTGGCGAGCCGGTATGGAGTGATTTATTGTACTTGCCTGACAATTAATATGGCCGTGACCGTGGACGAAGTTTTAAACCAGATAGGAGGATATGGCAAATATCAAATCCTCATGCTTCAGATGGTTGGTTTCATCGAATTTGGTTTAGCCTCTTTCAATGTAATGATTATCACATTTATCGCAGGAGAACCTACTTGGGAATGTGTCTCAAACAGCACTGTATGTAATATAACTGGTATAGTCGATACGACCAGTGATGATTATAAAGTAAGATGTGATATGCCGAGATCAGAATGGAAATTTTCCGATACGTTTACCTCCACTGTCACTGAGGTTAGTAAACTGATTGATCTGTATAAAGATTTGTAAAGACCGGTCAGAACGCAATACGCATTCCATCTCTTCCACTTCGGAGATCTCCGGTTACGGCAAAAATTTGCAGTGACCTAACCTTGATTCATTGCAATGTTTGAAGGGTGTTGTTGCTGGAAAGTATCAAGTGCAAATTTATATACATTTTATTAGACCTAACCAGGAACAGCTGCGAAAAATACAACGTTATATATATATATATATATATATATATATATATATATATATATATATATATATATATATATATATATATATATATATATATATATATATATATATATATATATATATATATATATATATATACATTTTATTAAACTCATGCAATAAACCTAACCAGCAACAACTGCGAAAATGCAACACTTTATAGGTCCCTGGCAGGAATTGATTGCAATATATGTATATTGTACAGCATATCTTAAAAAAATATATTTGGGCTCTTATTAAATAGCAAACATTTTTGCCACAACTGTTGCTCAATTTTCATCTGTCAACAGCACGCGCAATATAGTCATGTGTCAATACGCGCAATTTTCAAGTATCAATATCATGCCATGAGAACATGAGACGGTGATGTTTAATATTAATATCATGATGAAATTCTAACTAAATGTGCGATATCTACTAAATGTATTATTAATGCTGATACTAACTAATAGTTTTATATACTGTACTCATTGCCTACATCAGAGTCGGCCATTAATATGGCGCGGTCAATCGAATCTTCCGTGTGCGTGAAAATGGAGTTTGAGTTTTGGTCGTGTGTCGTGGGTAAAAAGTCGTACGTCGTGCGTAAAAGTCATGGGTCGAAAAATGCTCTAAATTTCCATTTTTTCGCTCAGACACTGCTTTTGCTAAAATAATTTCTGTTTTAGCCAATGCGTCTAAGCGATCAAATGCCCAACTGAATATTTAACCGAAATTCTTTATATTATGCGAACTTCGAACTAAAGTCAAGAACGCAACAGGGTAATGTGTCTGGACGTTAAAAGGGTTCTCTTTTTTGTGCGAAAATTAAAAGCAGTGTTCAAATGTGATTATACCGTGAACAAGAGATTGTGATTTATTTTGTATTAAACTGTTTGATATAAATTCACCAAAGCGGCAAAGCCAACGTGATTTATTGTGCCGTGTATTTATTTCAAAACAAAGTAGGCTAAGGCAATCCCTGAACTAACCTTTAAGTGAAGCTTTCCGCCCAGTGGAATGTCATTCGCTACTGTTCTGGAACGAATTTATAACTAAAGTTGATCAAGTAGAGCTTATGGCTTATACGCCAGACATATAACGCTTGTTGAACAGATTAATATGAACTTTGTGTCGGATTACTAGGTGTTTATGCATGTTTTTTGTCGGATTACTAGGTGTTTTAGGCATTGTATTAAATTAAGGTTTCCTTTAATTGCGTCACAACATTTTTACTTGCCGCCTGGCCTATCCTGCTGCGTTCTTTACTTTAGTTCGAAGTTCGAACGCATAATATGAAAAATTAGGTCAAATATTCAGTTGGGCATTTGATCGCTTACACGCGTTTTGCTAAAACAGAAAGTATTTTAGAAAAAGCAATGTCTGAGCAAAAAAAATGGAAATTGGGAGTTTCAGTGGCGGCGCCAGGCTTCCAAATTTGGGGGGGCATTTGAGGGGCAAACTCAAATTTTGGGGGGGCAAGATAGAATTTTTAAAAAGGTCGCCCCCCAGGAGATTCACCCCCCCCCCCTCAAAACGTGGCGATATCGCCTCCCAGGGGGGTGGGGCGAATACCCTAAGAATATCGCCCCTCTTTAGGACATTCGCCCCCCATATATGCGATGTGGTTTATTCAAATAATTTCGTGATACTTTCATCTTATTAATGCCTTACACGTTTGAGAATTTAACTCTGCAAAACTAAAGCTTTTTTGTCTTTTTTTTTGGAACGTATTATTGGAGTATTGGCAAGTTTTACCATTCAGAGATTTACAAACTAATATTGAAACTGTAAAAAACAGTTTCATGTATACGCGCATTCACTAAAGAGTAATGACAACTTATAAGCCATACATTTTCCGATAACTACAAAACGCTTGTGTAGCCTTTAGTCGCTCTTAGTGACTAATAATTTTTTTTGAGGGGGGGCAAAATGGGGGGCAAAAAATAATTTTGGGGGGGCATTTGCCCCCCTTGCCCCCCCCTGGCGCC